AGGAATAAAGGAACGAATGAGTGAGGAAATGGATGGACTTGCCTCTCCAGTGCGAGCGACGTGACAGGCCAGACGAGTGTTGATGGGGAAGCGTGCATCCTCCATTCTGAAACGGCACTAAAAATGAACACCCACAAACCCACCCGCATTCGCACCCACACCTACACCCTCACGCACACACACACACCCACACCCACACATGCATAAGGTGATCATGCGCAGGCGCTCATCACGTGTGGTGGCACGTGGACATCAGTTCGGTGGGTAAACATCAATGCGTCGCCACCGCCGCCGCCACCACCGTCAGCACCACTGTCACCAGCACCTTCGCCTTCTCTTACCTCTCTTACTACTACCAAATACTACACGGATATACGCAAGGCGACACGAACAGACGCAATCAGTCCCGTCCAACCTCTTCCAATCTGGTTGTAGTCTGATGTGGCATGAATCATGACGCTCTCAGATGGATTACGTGTGCTGGAAGTGGATGCCATTGCGGTTTGCATGGGAGTGGTTTGTACACAGGAAACATGTTTGAAGGGTGGACTGCATGACATGGGAAGGGTGGAGTGCGTGTGGTTGTTCCTGTTTGGAGACGGAAGAATGATGAATGGAGTGGAGTGGAGTGAAGTGAAGTGGTGTGAGGAGAGACGTGGTGTGGTGCAACTACAGCAAGGTGGCTTCCATCGCTGGTGTCGCGTAGAGACGGGAGAATGGTGGCACTTGTGCAACGTGGGTTGCACACCCACCAACCAGAGTGATGCCCACCATTGTCAGTTGTGATGCTGTGTGCGTGTCCTCCCCCTCGTCCTCGTCCTCCTCCTCCCCTTCTCCTCGCCTCGTGAACGCATGAGCCTCAATTGATTTTAATCAAGCCAACCCCTCTTGTAATCTGGTGCTGCACTGTGCTGGTGCATCAGTGCACTGACCGACTGGGTCGGGGCGGGACAGACAGCCTCATTTCGTTTAGTCAACATCACGGGGGTACGACGTGCACCACCACCACCACCACCATTGGGTGCTCTTGTGCGGACACACGGCAGTGGCCTCACCACCTTTTGACTACTCTACTCCTCACCAGTGATGCACACTCATGTGATGTGGTGAGGCATGCATTGGTGCACTTGCAGCACTCTCTGACAGCACTGGTCCACGTTGACGGTGAATGGAGGCAATGTTGGTTGGTGAATAGGTGTGTTGCGGTGGTGCGTTGGTGGGGCCTTTAGTGTGTCCGTAAGTGCGCAGAATGTGCATTATCTGTGGGCTGTGCTTGGTTTTGTCGAGGCCACCACGAGGAGAGGTGTAGGCATGTATTCTCCCACCTCTTCTGTGCGTGGCAACAAATCATATGGTGAAGTGATGAGACTGCTGTATGCTTGGGAGGGACTTGCGAACCTTCGTATCTTGTTGCTTGTGAGCACTATCGGGCCCTTTGAAAAGTTGGATTGGAATGTTCAGGTTTTCAATTTTGGTTACTTTTCGCACTGCTTGCCTGTTGTCCTTATTTCTAATGCTGAATTAAAGTAGCCTTTTCTTAACGTTGTATATTTGCTTGATTGCGTAGAAGATTATTTAGGCGTTACGGAAAGGGAAGTGGACATGTACTTTGTGAGGTAGCGGCAATTAATCCTGAATTTCCGATGTTTGTTTATATTAAGCGGAAGCAGTTGTGTCTAATTTGGCTATTGTCAGACAACGTCTTTACTAAACTTCCACCTCTTTTTTTACTGATTGCATCTTCCTTCATGTCCGTTAATCCACACTTTTCTGCCTTTTGCCTAAACTTGTTTGATTTGTGTGAACTTACTTGTAAGCCTGCTTTTGGGCTTTGCCTTGAAGCCAACCAACTTCCTCTCAAATTAGCTAAAATTATTTTATCATCTTCTTTGTCTGTGAAGACGAATTCGTGCCTCTCACATCAACCTTTAATTTCCATTTCTCCTTTTCATTACTTTTTAATTACGGACTGGATAGCCTCTCTCTTGTCGCTGCTCTAAAGCAAATTGTCAAATTGAAGAATATCGTTTTACCAAAAGAAATTAATCTCTTTTTTGTCCTTAAATTTGCTTCTTTCTTGAATGTCTCACTCTTTCGTGTAAACGATTTTTGTTTCTGCGCGTTTGTTAAATGCCTCTCCGTAGTTACTTGAACTGAGATGCCCATTCACTTCCCACCAAGTTTGATTTTGGAGGCTGTTCTGTGCGAGACTCTACTTTCAAATCTAAAGTAGTTATTTTTTTTCGTTTCGAGGGGACAGATATTCTCTGCAATCTGAGCCACGATGACTACCGTCAATCCGTAAAAATAATGGAAAAGGCAATCCTAGCCACTGATTTGTCTCGCTACTTTGCCAAGTTACCGCAATTTCGACAAACTCTTGACGAACGTATCTCTGCAGTTGGTGAGGCGAAACCGATAGACGACATCGCGGTGAAAACAATGTGGCAGACTGAGGCGTCAAATCGTGAACTCCTCATGTGCATGCTGATGACGGCCAGTGACGTCTCCGCTAGCACCAAACCCTGGCCTGTGCAGAAAAAGGTTGCTAAATTTGGTTGAGAAGTATTGTTTTTTTTTTCTATTTCCATTTCATTTATCCAATAGCGTGCAAATGTGAATTTGATTTTTGAATATTTCTAGTCAGCAGAACTGGTTGCCAATGAGTTCTTCGAGCAGGGCGATTTTGAACGCAAAAAACTCAACATCAAACCCGATGTAGGTGCTCTCTTTGGAGTGTAGCTTACCTTCCTTCCTTCCTGAATAGGCGGTGATGGATCGAGAGCTGAGCCACCAGTTCCCACAAATGCAAATTGAATTCATCGACACAATCTGCGCGCCTGTCTACGAGGTATGCGAAGTGAATGGCATTTTGTCGAGAGACGTTCAAGCCACTTAGGATCCACAGAGTTGACGCATAGCCATCAAATGTGTGATAAAATTGACGCTTAGGTGAAGTGACACATCGATACACAGTCAAACATTGTCGAAAGGCTCCTTTGCGTTGAAACGACAGTCACATCATCGGCTTGGATTAAGAGTTCAATAAACTGCATGAGGTTGCTACTGGACACAATTTTTTCATTAACTCTGGTGCAGGTGCGCGGCTAGCAAGAGTGTCTCCCATCGCCTTGGTAAACAACTGGACTGAATTAAGTTAAGTTGGCTTTGGACCAACGTGAATGGTACTGCCAGGGCTTTGTTCAGTACGGACGCATTCGTTTAAACGTCCCTCGTGCCTTACTACTTAATTGCTAATGAAGAAGGAGACCAAAGAGTTGTTTATTGTTGTAGTTGATTTCACGAGTCTGTGTTCGACTTCGGCCGCTACTGGAGGGTTGTTTGGCGAATCGGGACTGCTGGGACAGCGTTGCGAAGGGAGAGGCGGTGAAAGAGGTGTCCATGCGTTTACCCACTGATGCAGAAGGCGCTGATGGTGGCTATCGTGATAGATTGATGGCATTGCTTAATGCCCCACCTTCTACCACTTCTCTTTACCTAGATGGCAGCTGTGCAGCCCTAGCTACACAAAGTTTGGATGCTGTTAATCCAACCGATTTTCCTACTTCCTCTGTAAAAGCAACGAGATGTGGTGAGGCCAATGACACCACCTCCTCCACCACTGTTGGCGGTGGTGCTGCTGCTCCCTGAGCCATCCTCTCTCCGCTCTCCTCTTTTTCATTTAAGCACTCTAAAAGACGCTAACCCTGTGATATTTCCTTTTCACCTTAATTGAAATAGCAAAAAAAAATCTGTGTGTGATTGTGTGTTTATTGCTTTGTATGGAATGGAAATACGTGATCAACATCATAAACTTCTCTCTCAATGCAAGTTAAGAGATCCAAGTGTTTCTCGTTTGGAGTAGAGAAGAGGAGTAGTAGAATAAACAACAGATCTTCATTTGCACCTGGAACAGAGGTGGGCTTTTGTAAATTTCATTTAAGTTTGTCTTTGCCACCACATGTCGGAGAGCTTTTACTAACGTTTCCAGTTTTCTTGGAATGCCGTCTTATTGCTGCTCCAGCTGTGACTTCACCTTCACTTTTTGTCCGCATTACCCCTCGATAGTGTCTCTTCCTTTGCTTCATGAGTGTTCTCTCAAAGAGATCAAAGGTGGTGTTGGAGTTTAATGAATGTCTGTTTCACCTTGAGGTCAGGAAAGGTCAAACGCTCCCCACTGAGTTCATCTTGTGCCACCAACTAGTAAGAGGAGCTCTCGTTGATTTAGCACACTCCCCTTGGCATTGAAGTCCACGACGAGGGAGATGAAAGCCAAATTCATTAAACTGCTTACAGTTCGGATGGATGTTGAGTGACATGAGGTATCACGAGGCACCATCTTCACGGTCAAAACGTTCCTCGTGTGTTGAGTTCACTACTTTCTGGGCTACAATGACACTAAAATCGTTGTCGACAAGAAGGAAGAAGCTGCAGGCTGTGGACTCTGCCATCGGCATCAAAATGTGGCCTCATGCGGTGGTTAGTTGAATGTGTACGGCATTTAATGACTGTAAGAGGCGTTCACACATCCGAACGAGGTGTCACATTGAAGGCGATTCATTTAAAGTGTCTTTATGCACTCCTTGACATGAAGTGATCCCTGAAAAAATGGTTTATGAATAAACTGATAGATTGGCAGATCAAAGTGGACAAAATTTAGGATTACTGTTTCCATGGCAGTGCTTTAATTCCACAAATTTCATCTTTACCAAAAAAGTTTTCCCAACATACGGCAATTCTAGTAATGCGTTAAAGTCTATCTGTGGTTTCTGCATCCAGTTTGATGGCGAGATTTTGATGCCCTTAAACTTGCATAATTAAGTAAAGAATTGGCAGACAAGGTGCGTACACACCGTTTAGGCCTTCGCATTAGCAAAGGAGGCAAGTTGACAAGTGGGAATTTGTTGGTGTGGAAAGGAAGGTGGAAGGAAACTCCACGCAGTGCATCGTGCACACAGAGACGATCGGTTTGGGTGGTGGGAAAAGTGGCTGATTTAAGGACAAGTTAAGAGGTGTTGTTAGGCGAGAATTCATTTGGAGTGTCATTGAGGCTCATTGTGTGTTCAACAGACACCATTTCCATTCATGTTCAGACCGCATAAACACGAAGGTGCTCCTTCAACTGCTTGATGAGGAAAGAGGAGGTGGAGAATTATCTCCTCTGGTTTAAATGAAGCGTTAATCGCATTCGGAGGCTGTCACGAGTACTTTGAAGCTTCGTGGATTGCACTGGGGTGAGCCTAAGGGAGCCTACGAGGGCCCCATCGGTGCTGGAGGTGTGAGATGAGAGTTGCCTTGTCCATTGGATTCAACACACTCCTTTTGGGATGGACTTCATCAATGGTCAACCCTTCTCGAACAAAAGAAGCGCGTTGACAAGCAATACAGAGTGGCAAATCTGACCATAGAGAACACTTTTTTTTGTACAAAGACAAAATATGTAAAGTCTTCACTTTTAACCAACTCCTTCCTACAAAGGCGCCTAATGACCGCCACAACAATACAGGTCTTGCTCTAGCAGTCACCCATCGTCCAAGGTGGTTGCTATTTAAACCAAGGACGCAAGCTGACACGGCTGACAGTCGATGCAGTTGATTTGAGAGCTGCCTTTACACCCAGATTGAACTAATTTTGTGCTACGTTTTCTGTTGCATCCCGCAAAGGTGGACGAGGGGACGAAGAAGTCGCCTAGAAATGTGTTTGGAAAAAAAAAGCATGAAGGCGGCACAGTAGAGAGCAACTATTTAATCGGTACCACTGCTTTGCATTAGGCACACTAATACACACCTTCTCTTCCTTCCTCCTGATTTATTTGATGAGTAAATAAGCCTTGTGGTATTGACAGTGACAAACTGTGTTGTGAGTTGTGTGCCTCAAATGTCCTTTAATCGCTGTGCAATCATGTTGACGCTCAACAATTCTGCAACGCCCGATTCATATCGCACGTCTCAATGAAAAGCCCTTTATTGATGGAGAATTTAGGGCAGATGTTGGTAAAACCACTTCTACTAATCCCTTCTTGTAAATATGGAAGCCGAGGAATGGTTTGGAAAACAATTATTTTCCCCTCATCGTTTCGCAAAAAGAGAGTTTGCAAACCGATCGCCACCTTTGTTTGATCGAGTTGACGCGCATCGTCCTCTTTGTCCCACGTTTGCTGTCGATAAGAGCAACTCTCAACATTTTTACATCGACGTCCACCCCGACTGATAAAAGTATGATGAATATGAGGTTCGTCTTCTCCATTGTTTAATTTGGAAGTAGATTAAGTTGACGAAGCTGTAAATCATGCGTTGGTATCACAAAAGGGACTAAATGGTGGTAATAATTTATGTCCTGATTGCACTTCTTTTCACCGCCGCCATTTCATCTCAAAATTCGAGGAGAGAGGTGAAATTGGCGTGCAAATAGACGATTGTGCTGACGTAGACTAAATTGTAATGCATTAACAGACAGGTGGCAGCTTCACCGACTATACTACTTTTTTTTGCAAGTAGCAAATTGGGCGCCACACAAGTGTCCGCCTTTTCCACTTCGTCTTTTATTTTTCTCCTCCTTTTTGTCTCATCGACCCATCCCTTTGCTTCCTTTACTCAACTTTGTCAAGGCATCCCTTCAAGTTGCCAACAGCCTTGACAAAGAAGTGCTTGATGTTGCACGTTTTGTGCATTGCACTTCCATGATCAAGACATGTCAAGATATTACAGGTTACGAAAATGTCTTTTTTTGATAGTCATTTGAACAAAAACTGAGTTAATTATGTCCATTTATCTGCCAAATCAGTTATGCATGTTTCCCATGCCAACAACACTGCCCGGTGGACAGGCACTTGCAACATCCCATGGGCAACAATTTTGGTTGCAGTGAGAAACTTTAAAAATAATAGTCGAAATGATTTTCCTTAAAACAGATAGGCTAAAAGTGTACACTTAGAAAGGTTATGCAAGTGATGAGCAAAAAATTGTGGTGTGGTTACTTTCCACAGCTTAACTTAGCGGGATTAACTGGGCGGCAGCTACAAAGCTGCCCATCAGGTTAACTTTGAGACGAAATTTGCAATGCGCACACTTGTAATGTCAACAGCCTGTTGTCTGTACTACTATCCCCACCACCACCACCACCACCACCATTATTATTATTATTATTATTGTTATTATTATTATTGCCATCGCCATCGTCATCATCGTCAGCATCACATAACACCTGCGATCTTGTTGCGTTGACATTTAATTTCTTCCATTCAAGTTACAAAGACACCTCTCTCATACGCGGCTCTTTTGTGCGAAGGCAATAAATGAGCACACTGTTTGCCATTCCACATTTCTGCGTTCTTGCCTGCTCTAAGCCTCAAATGACAAGTTGAAGGAATGTAAATAGCGGCTTCAAAGACAAATGAGTGTGGAGCTTGGAGCGGAGTAAGAAAATGTATGAAAGTTCTGTTTCTTTTTGATATGTCGCATTGAAAGACTTCACTTTGTGACTATGGAGAGCATTAACATTACTGTCACAAGCAATAATGCCGCCACGTTCATCATTATCATTTTCTGATGAGTTGATAGACAAGCAAATTGACTAATCTTCTTACTTTACTGGAGAAGTTAAAGGAGTTGATGCGTTGCATTCCATCGGAGTCGTTTGAAGTAGACTCCAGTTCCAGCACCTGCGAGATGCATGGGAGTTTCTGCTTTGCACAATACTGACAACAAAGCACAGTGACACTTCGGATGAGATCGTGACAATGCGCAAGTCATCCGCTGCTCACTAAAAACTCTTTACATTTCAACCCCCAAAAATAGAAAAATCTTAAATAGTTCAAAGTATCAGCAATAGGATATGCATTAAGTAGCAATGCATCCTCGGCAGCTCAGCAGCCAAAATATTGCACCAATCCGATGATATTTTTGCTACTGTCTAAGTTTGAGTAGTATAAAAATACTCATTTTAATTTATGAAGGTCGCTTTCTAACAGCAACCTTTGCTCCCCCTAAAGGTGACACTGAGAACCGACCAAATTTTGGAGTGCATAATAGAACAACGTTTGTAGGGCATAGAATAAACCTTTCAAACAGAAAGACTAAAAATCAGAACATCCACTCTCTTAACTATGTGCAAAATTGACGAGATTTTCCAAGCTTCTTCTCACCATTATGTAAGTAATGATCACCTCTTCAACATTCGTTGCAGCTAAATTGAATGATGCCATTTCATGCCATCTGCCACTTGCTGCCTTTCACACTTGATGAGGTCGCGAGACAGTCTATGGTTCTTAAGTTGAGATAGCAAAAGTTGCATTCAATTATTGTGCTTTGAAAGTTGACTACTTGAGAGGACGTGATACCAGTCGACGTTGCAAGAGTTGTCGCTACACATCCGTAGCACTTCCATGTTGTTTGAAATAGTGAATATCATTAAGGTGCATTCAGGTAGTCCTTGTTTCATGGCTAAGCAGAGGCAAGATTATTACTAAAGAGTCGTAACAAATTATTAAAGAGGCACCTTAACTGCCAAATTGTCTCCTTATACGAGCACTGTGCCAGAAGGTCAGCTACTCTCACCTTAACGCCATCCTTTGCAGTCAAAGCAAAGAAACGGCGAGACGACATGGCAATTTGTTGAGAAACTTTAACTGAAAGTGGCGGACTCAAAGTTGGTTTCTACTAGTCAGTGATGAAGTGTTCATTTAGTTATGGTGGTGGTTTGGCTAAATCAGCCATATTAAAATGTGAGGAGGCGCTTTATGAGACGTTGACTTCTTGTCAACATGAGGTAAGGTCAAAAGCACACAAACCCCCAACCCGTGGCTGTGTGTCAATAAGACATTGCCTAATAGACAAGACCAACGTCTGTCATGGAGTGGCATTGTCATATGGCATCTGTAAACCGTGATGAATTGCCAAAGGAGAGCGTTAAGTGTAGATCCTTAAAAGGCGGACAGGACAAAGAGATGGGGACATCATTCGTCTACAATGACGTCTTTCCCATGTTTGCTTGTTCTGTTGATCCGCGTTCCTTGTCACTGAGGTTCACATGCAACCAGAACGCATATTCCCTGTCTCCTGAGTGGACGTCTTTGGCGCTTGCGTAGAGTGAATTGAAGTGGACCGGTCAAGTGGCGCAGAATTAGAAGTGAAAAAAATAATTTGGTTTTGGAATCTTTGAGTGATGACAAACCATTGCTCATTTCAGTAGTCGAAGATACAACAATCACAGAGGGAAGATGAGGTCCACTAAACCTGCTACACCATTTAGATTAACGCATGGAGTTCCACTGCCTGATTGTATGGCAGAACTGTTACCCTGAGTGTTGCATCACTACGCTCAACTCATCTCATAGGTCAAGTCCAGCACAATTTGTTCAGAAAAAAATATCCTACTCACTTTCTTTCACTTTCATTAATACATCTCTACAAAAAGGTCATGAGTACAGTGAAATGAGAAAACCAAGACGCTCATCAGAGGTCCTCCTTCTCAACAGAAGTGTGCGCGCCCTAACCGCCATCCTCATTCGTCTCGTCCTTCTCATCACCAATTTCACCACTTCCGCTTCATTGCTCACGTACTGACTTGGATGCTGTTACATTTTTATTTAAAAACGTAGCTTCAGTGAGAGAGGCATGGAATGGCTACTAACAACCCCGACACTATGCAACGAGGACGGTGTCATGGGGAATGCCAGTAGAAAGTAGTCCATACACAATGTAGTTTGGTCCAAAAGTTGTTAATGAAGGCAGTAGATTGCCACGGTAACTGAGGTGTATAGCATAAGATTAATATCCCTCATCAAGTGAATTGTACGCTTCACCTGAGCACTCACCCAACCATACCCCACCTGATCCTCGCCGTAGTACACACACTACAAGCAATGGACTTTTATCCTTAGTTTACAGGTCATCTTTGCCATTGAACTCGTCAACAAGACGGTCTACACTTTCAATACATGTATTTCATTGTCTTAAAAATGCTCTGGCAAAAAGAGATAGCGATCAAAAGGTGCGTAACCATTTAGGCAAAAGATCAGTGGCTGAATGCGATCGCGTCGATCGCCAGAATGGGTACCGTAGAATGAGTGAGGCTAATTCACGATTAGCGTCAGCAAAGAGGAGAGAGTAATTACTGCCACTGAGAGAATGGTCATAATTGCGACCTTTGCCCTCGGACAGACACCAATGACCCTTCATGGATCCATCAGGCTTCAACAACTGTCCCGCCTTAGGGTAGGGTCCACCCCGTGCGCAATAATAGCCCTTTCTTGCATTCCACCTGAAGAGGAAACGTGGAAGAAAGAAAGGGAGCAATGAATTTCCACCAATGATCGCCCTCCCCATTTCACATCCTTCTAAAATTGTGGGGAAAGGCGGTGTTAGGAGCACTTACACCAACAGTTTTGAGTAGTCTATGAAGGTAGAAACATTGAGGAACTCCTGCACGTCGTGTAATACCTCGGCAGGGTCAGATTCGAATCGTTCAACATCAACCAGAAGGATCTGAAAGAGTAATCAAGATTAAGATTAGGCATGAGGCACAGATGTCACACATGAAACATGTACACATGCAATATCTATTCATTCATGTTGAACGGGTTCATCCCATCTTGACCTGAAGGTCACGTGCAGTTTTATCCACCACTCACATGGCTGGCGCGATAGCGCTGAAGCCAATAGCGAAAATGTGTAGCGTAAGAGCTGGGTTCAATACATTTGAGGTGCAGTCGGTAGAGTTGGGCTGCGAGATTGGTGACATTTGACGACGATGCGGCAGTAGCAATGGCAGTAGCCTTGTCCAAACTACTTGCCTGCAGCACCTTATCGAAGGTGAAATTCAGTGATGCAGACACTTGGTGCGCTCGCTGATGCTAAAGCGTCGGAGAAGGGACAACTTTGCAATCAGAAGTTGTAAAAACAGCAGCATGTGTAGGTGAACAGAAGCACACCCACCTGATACCAAGAGTGCGCACGTAGCAAGGGGTCGCGAAGGAGCACTATGATCTTGGCATTGGGAAGAAGAGCAGCCATTCTTACCACCGCTAGTGATGAGTCAAAATAAGTGGCCGACTTCTCAAAGTTGATACCAGTCGATGGACTTAAAAATTGGTTGTTGTAGAAGGAAACACCTTTACTGTAGATCGCAGAGTCGCTAAAGAATTGCACCTCTTCATAGGGCGAATGTGAAAGAAAGCGATTGGGCTGTAGATTTGGATGCATAGCCATGAAAGCCAGTAGTGCGGTCGTGCCTGCACAAAATTGAGGGACAATAATGAAAATAACAAGCACAAAATTTATGAATATGTGAAGGCAGAAGGTACGCCTTAGTTGAGCCGAGGTGTACGCACAAATTAATGCGGTTCAAATGAACGAACATACACAGAAGTGGATTTACAACTGGACGTAAATGAAAGTGAAGTGAATGGATGAATGATTGAGCGAAATCGAGACCACACACCAGTCTTCTGCGGTCCCACAATGACAGCCGCAGGAAGACGCCTTTCGTTGGGAGTGCAGGCAGATGGAAACCATATCGCCTCGTGTCTCGGTTCAGCGCAAGGATCAGAATACACCGGTAAGGAAGTGGATGCGGGTGTTCGCTCCGTTGGGTTAAAAGAAAGGTGGTGATCTATCAAACGCCAAATCGGCGCCCACTGAACCTTCAAACGAGTCCATCCACGCAGAAACGCAAAGGCCCTCTCAAAGACGTACAGTGCCAGGCGGTCTTGTGCGTAATTGCCGAAGTGCGTCATGTACAAATTTACCTGCAAATGCAATGCACTTCGTTTAGCACTGTTGAAAAATATTTAGCTGCCTTGAATTGGGACCCTATGGAAGGTGAATGAGAAAAAATTAATAGTAAAGAAAAGTTATTAAATGGCGCAATAACACTTACAGGATTAAAAAGAAGGGTGTCGAAAAGCTCTCCACCAAAAGCCATTTCCTCTAACTTCTCAATACCTCCGGGATAGTCTTTGATAAGTGTTGTGGTAGTGTAGACACCACAAACCTGTCTGGGCAGTACCTTGAATAAAAAACGGCTTAAGCACACAAGGAATAATGCATTTCTGTCTTTGCTAACAGGAGCTGATAAAACTTTAACACTTTAGCCCAAATATGACGTCATAAGAAAGTTTCATTCCGATATAAAGGACTGTTCCGGCCTACTTGATAGGTTGGAGTTCAAGCGATCTACTTCCAACCAAAATCAGCCCCTCAGATAACACTAGTCTCTGATACAGAGACCGAGACTTCACTTTTACGTGAAGCCTTCACCAACCTGGACTCCTTGGTAGTGGAAGCCGCGACGAAAGCGTGGAGGGAAGAGCCTAGGATAGCCCTCCGTGGTGGTGACGTTTATGTTCCATATTTCCTTCCACGCAGTATAGAGGTACGGAATAACAGGGTACACACCGGAATGATGTGGAGCTACAGCATACCCATCTGCTATGGGTAAGTCCTTCTCCTAAAAGAATGACAACGAACTGTTAGCAACAGACCACGAGTTGCTTTTATTGACAACGAGTAAAATGAATTGCGGATGGAATACTGTAATGCGTTTAGAATAGGTGAATTTTGAATAGTGGGTTTGATATGACGCTGGGAAAGATAGGAAGAATACGCATTAAAATGGATTTGAGATAAGAAAATTCGGCTCCACTCGCCATCTGTTTGACAGAGCTAAAACTAAAATTAGACATTTAGAGACTCAGAAGGTATCAATCTTTTCACACGCCTTCTTCAACACCAATCAGAAGCTGTTTCGATCGGCAGTGAATGCTTCGACAAATGAATGCAGTGATTTACTTTGCCAGAATTTGGCGAAAGATACCATCCGAATCGCTTTCATCTCTTCCAGCGTGAGTTATCCAGTTGCGGAGGAGTTTGGAATGCCCGTTAATTTTTGACTGTGTACCCTCATTTACAAAAGAATCCTTTCAACATCATCTACACACACACACACACCTTTGCATCCATGAATGGCACGCGTTTAAATCGGTCAAGGACGTACACATCGGCCATTAAAAAGTACTGGCCAAGCGCAACCACATGTGTCTTCCGGCGATGCCGTTTGCACTGACTTTTAGAGGATAATGGATGAATGCACTAGGGCACTAGCACTTTTTTAAAAAAAGTTCCATAACAGCTGCATGATAGACCAAATTCACATAAATAATAATTCTGTTTGATCAGAAATCACACCATCTCATGTGTCCTCCAAAAGGTTACGCTAACTATAGTAAAGACTACTGAATGAGGCAATATCAAGAATTATCGCAGCCTACCTCAGCAAACTTCTTATTCATTTTAAGCTGTCTGAGCAATTCTGACTCCGAGAGTAAGTGGGGTTGTAAATGCGAATAGGTATGGCAAAACCACTTAAATTGATGCCGATGCCCTACAGAAAAGGGAGAAAGTAGTTGTTTTGGTATCAGTCATGAAGATAAAGACCTCAGTGGGAGGATAGAAAAACTCACGAATAAGAGCCTCATCACCAAGCTGCTCCTTGGGATTGCCATGCAGAAAGTACATTCCCGAAAATCCCATATGGAATGTGAAACCGGGCATAAAGCGACGCCAGCGATTTTGTGTCTCAATGAGGTTCTGCAAAAGGCCCACCAGTAAGGACGAATGCATTTGGTCATATCAAGGCATACTTCCAGCTGGAAAATACAACCTTCAACAATGCAAATTCACTTATCTTAGATCGTTCAACTTAGTTCAGGTAGATGGGTGAAAGAACGAAAAAGTGGATGGGAGATGGGAAAAAATGATGGCACCTTTTCAGTAGTGCTATCGTTTATTCAAACAATGTCCTTTGTTCGGCCTGGTGGAGTGATTTATGCTTTTTTAGATTATGACCCACCTCAACGTCAGCAGGAGTCATTCGAGTTCCACGCGGCGCCACAAATACGTCGTCAATGTCAACGTGAATGTACCGATGGAGGCCAATGTCTATGGAGATACAAAACTCATTCATACTGTTCCTAGGGACATAAAAATTTCCCATTATGCATCCTTACCGTATTCAAGCACGGAAGAGTCCTTAAAGAAATGGTGAATGGCATCACTAAGCAGGAGTGAAGTGGACCAATGTTGCAAAGGCGGAAAGGCAAAAAGAAGCCTTTCAATGCCATCAACTTTGCCGATATCTTTTAGTACTAAGCTCTGATAAACCGCCTCATTATCACATCCATCAAGGTTGTCTTTGTAGTCTAGGGAAACACAGCTTCGTCGTTCCAATTCCGTACCCTGTCCCGAGGGTACTTGCGTAAAAGCCAGAGTCTGGAAGGAGTCAATGTCACTAGAATTGCGGGGTACAAGAGCAGCCCATGACCGTTGCCACTTCTGATACTCCATCCAAACAGACGTCTCGCTGACCCAACTCCGGCCTAGGACGGAGATGAAGTCGGGAAGGAGGTAAACAAAGTGTTGCACGGAGGCGGTGACATCGGAGAGCAGCTGAGGGTACCCGTCACGCCGCAGTGAGAAGCACCTCGAAGAATGGCGCTGCCAACCCCGACATGGCGGTAGCTGGTCATTCAAATCCCTCTCATCCACCTGACCTCCGCGGGCAACAAAGAGTACGTCGCTTTCCCGTGACAGAAAGAAGCCTTTCGGCGATGGCGAAGACATGAAACTGCGGAGCAGCAGTGGATAAGAGGGATCAATCTTTAAAAAAAAATTAACGATGGAAACAAATATCAGTGACACAAGTGGGTTTTATTTCATGAGACATGAATAGGCACTGCTTGTTTAATTGTTCATTTAATATCCAAAACATCCCACCTTAATCAAAACGGACTCGCAGCTTAGAGCAACGGAAATGGATCGGCATTAAGTGATCCTTATATCCCAGGCAATTGCAGTTAGACTAGCCAAAAGCAACCTGTCAGCTTGAGCCGATGACAGCAGCCAAGACGATGGGATCGTAAGGAGATGAAGCAATCCAACGGGAAACTCGACAAAATAGTGTAGACTAGGCTTGCCATTACGAATGATTGTAAACGTGAGTTCAACATAAGAAAGCCATCAGTGAAAGTAAACTCTACCCAAACAGATGAAAATACTTGACAATGAGACGTTGCAATGCTAAAAAGCATGCTACACGAGCTAACTATGCCTTCCAACTTTTCCCATACACAAAAAACCAAATATACGAATATAAGTAATAAGAAAATAGGCCCAAAATTCCGTCAAACATTACAGCAAACAAAATAAGATATTTGGGAAGCAATCATAAGGCCTTAAAACTCCCTTCCGAGAGACATGAGAAAGTCGTCGCCATTGGGACAAGCCAGATAACATAATGATCAAACCCAAGGCATAAAATTATGTCTACAACTCGAGATTTTCAGGAAAAATGATACCGCGACCAAGGCAACGAGATGAGCAAAAAAATACTGCATATAATGATCCAATGAAATGCATGAAATGTCCCTATGCATAGAAATAGCTGCAGTGACTCTCGAGCATATGTGAGTAGGGACCCCACATCAGCAGGTCCACACAATCTTGATGTCATTACGACCGTTACGATGACTTGCGAGTTTTGCACAAGAACCGTGCCTACCTCGGCAAAGTGCTCATTAGTAGGAATGCCTCGCAGTGTATTGGCGTTCAGAAAGAAAGCAATGACCGCCACGTGATCTCTCTTGCAGTATTCGTCAAGGGCCAACTTGACTAGGGTGGGAAGGCTGAAATAGATCAAAAAGTCTTCGAATATGATCATTCGAAAATATTTTGCGCCCGTAAGTCGGTGAATTTGGGAGGAGAATGACACCGGACTGAGTGGGTAGATGGTAAGGCGGAGGGATTGGACAACGGAGATTATGAGTTTTGCGTCCTCTGACATATCGTGATCGGAGGCGGTGATGAGCAAGACAATGGGGTGGGTGTGTTTGGGATAGAATGCGTTGTATAGCGAGCTTGGAACCACGTGGGTACGGAGGTTATGGGAACGGACGCTCACGGTAAATGATAGTGGATCAGTATTTACATCCTCGGATCTATGTGCGATCAAATATATACTTCCAATACAGATGGAAAAGAGAAGGAACTTCTTCCATACAACACACTTTTGCAGTGAGAACCGCAGCATGTCTAAAGCCGAAAAAATAGTTAGGACGAAGGTAAAAGGCTGTAAAAGAAGTCAAATATTTGAACTTAACATCCATAAAGAAAGTCTAGACTACTGCAACGTTATTTTTTTAAAGGAAACACGTAATACTCGCCAAATGAAAAAAAATTTGAGATCGTTCTGCCACCAAAATAACGGATAAGCTCTACCACAGGATGAAAATCCAAATAATACCAACCTAATTAGGCAATAACACAAAAACCCTTTACGAACTGATTCCGTTTCAATGCCCGCTGCATCCTTAAACCAATTCCAATGAACCAATAACCACATAAGACCTTAGGGCATTAAACCAATCGTCGTATTGAAGTCGTTGGCTAAAACAAATAAACGTGGAATTTCGAACACCTAAAATGCGCTGAAAAACAAGGTGTTGCGAAGTCTTAGTCAAAAGTATAGCTTAATGAACCTGAAACTTGTACAAATTATATTTGCTAGAATATATTGCTTTGACCTAAGTATAGGTTGAGGATACATTTTTAACAAGATAGTTTCTGTAAAGATAGAATACCTTCGAATTGTGCAACTGGACCTAATTGTCATTGTAATGCTTTGCATATATAGCCACCTGACTTTTCGCCGTCACTTTAAGATTTGTATGACTCCTGTGCTCGTGGGCTTGTTTTCGGGTCAAGCTCAAGTCTAACCACATTGTTCTTTCTTATATACATGTATTCAGCCCCAATTACTGCAGTCTTATTCCACGTGGGAAGTCTCGGGATGCTACACTAGTGACGAAAGGAAGAGAACCCGAAATTTTTATCATGACTTCCATCCTGGTACATACCGTTTGTTGCGTGTACATACGGTATGGAGGAGGTATACTTATCTTCGGCGGAAGAACCCATAATTCATTCACGACAAGAGGGTTGGGACTGGCGTTTGCGTTTGAGCCCACCTCATTCCCATTTTCTACAGGTAAGCTATCAACAACTGTAGCGAAACCGCCGCGAACCATTTGGAAAAGTTGTTAGAATTTTTCAAAAATCCTTATATGGGTGTCGGAAACAACACCAAATTTCCCTTTTTTATGTGGGGCGGTATTTGGTCCCGTTTTCCTTATAACACATCTGTTTTGTACCAGAGTTCATTCATCTAGTCCTAGAAGCATTTGATCAACAAACGTATGCGGCCTCGATTCGGGCTCCCGGACTGAACGTAAATCCAGGTCAATTTAAAGCTGCCAAGAATACCAAGTACCGGTCTCCAGTCGCATGGTAGCTGTTGATTGGCGCCGCTGGCTCGTGGGTCTTTCTTAAAGCACCGAATATGTGATGGCTGGATCGGGGATGTACCAAGAGGATCGCCGAGGGAGTAGCTTAAGGGGAATGGGGGGTAGTGTACTGCTTTGTTTGTGTGATCATCCGATGTCTGCCGACATCTTTAAGATTCTTCTAGTTCTAGTACGCGTGCACTGGACTTCGGTAGATGCTCAGGTCCAATTACTTTGTTCTTCTTAAAATAAAAGTATTAAGTTCAAATTACTGCTTCTTCTATTCGATGGAAAGTCTCAGGACGCTACATTAAATCCCACTGCAACCCAAAGGCTCCCCATCGTACAGAACAAGGCATGGGTTCGTAGAATGCACCGAAAGCCAGTCCAAGCCTACAAGAGCAAATTAAATACACTGCTCAATTCTTCTGAATACAATACCTTCTGCTCCTTCTAAAAGATCTCTTTCGCTATTCATCACAGCATAACTCGTGCTGCTAAAAGGAAGCATCCACGAGCCATTTGCATTATTCATTTGGTACCACGAGACTAAAAGATTTCGGTTTGGCATTTTAACGTGCTTAGAGGGATGCATTGAGTTGATACCAACATTTAAAATCAAATTCCACGTAGGGAAAGAAGGAGAGCAGTCAGGAAGGGGGAAGTGGAGAAGACTGGCCCCAAACGCAACCAGGTCTTAAGGGACGCCAGAGTCGCATCCA